ATAAAACATGTACAGCTTAAATGCAAAACAAATCACCAGTTGTCTCTTCATCTAAAATGATTGGCGGACTTTTTTTAAATATATACTTCATCAATGTGTGGTGGGCCTTAGACTTTGCATTCTACCTGAGATGCAATCACACCATTCAATGCACATGAACCTGAGACAGGGCATTAACAAAGGAATGTAAAAAGAAATTTTATAAAATAAAAATGACATCAGTAACACTAAGACTACCAAGTTAACTGTAGCTTGAGTAACAAAGGGGGCATTTCATGAGATATTTTTTTTAAATAACACACAGAAACAGAAATGACAAAAATTACATTCTATATTCAAAGCTCAAACTCATTCCACACCTCTCTGGACTTGTTACATCTGTCCAAATAGTTGTCCATCATAGAATTGTATTTGATTTTGCTGTTCATATCACCAAATTCCACCCAAAAACTTTCAAAATGCATAAATATAGCCGGTATGATGCATTATGCATCATATGATTCAAAACGCAGCATCATATGATACAAAATGCATCTTACCAGCTATATTTATGTATTTTGAAAGTTATTTATCTTCAAAACTTGATTGCTGACATGCAAAACATTTTGGGACTATATCAACAATAGACTAATGAAACAAATACAGTGGGGAAAAAAAGTATTTAGTCAGCCACCAATTGTGCAAGTTCTCCCACTTAAAAAGATGAGAGAGGCCTGTAATTTTCATCATACGTACACGTCAACTATGACAGACAAAATGAGAAAAAAAATCCAGAAAATCACATTGTAGGATTTTTTATGAATTTATTTGCAAATTATGGTGGAAAATAAGTATTTGGTCAATAACAAAAGTTTCTCAATACTTTGTTATATACCCTTTGTTGGCAATGACACAGGTCAAACGTTTTCTGTAAGTCTTCACAAGGTTTTCACACACTGTTGCTGGTATTTTGGCCCATTCCTCCATGCAGATCTCCTCTAGAGCAGTGATGTTTTGGGGCTGTCGCTGGGCAACACGGACTTTCAACTCCCTCCAAAGATTTTCTATGGGGTTGAGATCTGGAGACTGGCTAGGCCACTCCAGGACCTTGAAATGCTTCTTACGAAGCCACTCCTTCGTTTCCCGGGCGGTGTGTTTGGGATCATTGTCATGCTGAAAGACCCAGCCACGTTTCATCTTCAATGCCCTTGCTGATGGAAGGAGGTTTTCACTCAAAATCTCACGATACATGGCCCCATTCATTCTTTCCTTTACACGGATCAGTCGTCCTGGTCCCTTTGCAGAAAAACAGCCCCAAAGCATGATGTTTCCACCCCCATGCTTCACAGTAGGTATGGTGTTCTTTGGATGCAACTCAGCATTCTTTGTCCTCCAAACACGACGAGTTGAGTTTTTACCAAAAAGTTATATTTTGGTTTCATCTGACCATATGACATTCTCCCAATCCTCTTCTGGATCATCCAAATGCACTCTAGCAAACTTCAGACGGGCCTAGACATGGCTTAAGCAGGGGGACACGTCTGGCACTGCAGGATTTGAGTCCCTTGCGGCAAAGTGTGTTACTGATGGTAGGCTTTGTTACTTTGGTCCCAGCTCTCTGCAGGTCATTCACTAGGTCCCCCCATGTAGTTCTGGGATTTTTGCTCACCGTTCTTGTGATCATTTTGACCCCACGGGGTGAGATCTTGCGTGGAGCCCCAGATCGAGGGAGATTATCAGTGGTCTTGTATGTCTTCCATTTCCTAATAATTGCTCCCACAGTTGATTTCTTCAAACCAAGCTGCTTACCTATTGCAGATTCAGTCTTCCCAGCCTGGTGCAGGTCTACAATTTTGTTTCTGGTGTCCTTTGACAGCTCTTTGGTCTTGGCCATAGTGGAGATTGGAGTGTGACTGTTTGAGGTTGTGGACAGGTGTCTTTTATACTGATAACAAGTTCAAACAGGTGCCATTAATACAGGTAACGAGTGGAGGACAGAGGAGCCTCTTAAAGAAGAAGTTACAGGTCTGTGAGAGCCAGAAATCTTGCTTGTTTGTAGGTGACCAAATACTTATTTTCCACCATAATTTGCAAATAAATTCATTAAAAATCCTACAATGTGATTTTCTGGATTTTTTTCTCTCAATTTGTCTGTCATAGTTGACGTGTACATATGATGAAAATTACAGGCCTCTCTCATCTTTTTAAGTGGGAGAACTTGCACAATTGGTGGCTGACTAAATACTTTTTTTCCCCACTGTACCAAAATATAGTTTTTGGGTGGAGTTTTCCTTTAAGTAGGTGCTCATACAAATTAACATTTATTTTATGTCAACTACGCTCGAGTTGCATATACTTTCCCCCATACACTCCTGTTTCCTATTGGTTCTGACAGTGGTCACCATTCCAAACCACAACACACATCAGTAAAAGGTTAAGCAGAAACATATACATCGACCCAGTCCACACAGCTGTGAGTACATGTATTAAAATGTCCACCTACAGAAAGAGTGAATAGATGTGTTCACTTGGTAAGAACAGACTTTTTAAGGTCCAGTTTTGAATGGAAGCCGCCACACTTTTGACCAAAGCAAAATAATGCTCACTGTTAAATACAAGTCACACAACCTCAATCTAAAAGACGGTTACATTCTCTCTGTTGTTTGTTCTATTGAAACAACAGAGGGGATCCAAAATGTTTCATATGAAGTCACACAGTCTAAAATGGAGCATTTAAACGAGCCAGAAACATCAAATCAAACACGTAAGCAACGTCATCTTTTCAACCTAATTGTCAGGTCAACAACCTCAGCAGGACAGTAACTAAATTCAACAGCAATGTTTACTGTAGTGATGTAGAAATGAAAAGTAACCGATCCCCAAAAAGTACTCTTGGCATTCCCCACCTCTCCCCAACTGGCCCTTTCAACATGGTCTCATCTTTAAGCTTAGGCGGGTCATTTGTAAAGAAAGAAAAAGAGGAGACTGTATTATGTTGTTTTAGAGGTTCACACTCACATACATGCAGTGTGGTGTTGGCTGACTGTTTGGGCAACTGAAAATTGTTGCATCATGACAAGACCATGTACAATCCAGAGGCTGGGGTGTGATAGTAGGGGAAATAAGGCCCTGTCTCCAGCGGTAATTCCTAGTGACACACACTGTCATGAGTGTTTTACAGTACGGAGTGACAAAACTCACAACAAACAGCTTGTGATAATCAGAAAAAACACAAAAGTATTCTGTCATGAAATTCCACTAGGTTGTAAAAAATATTTCCTGGCACGGGTTAGTGTATAATACATTGGTGTGAATTTATTGGTTGGACATAGTTTGTATATTGTTGGAACTATTCGTTCTGATGCGTCTGAATTGTTTTGAGATAGTGTTTTTTCTTGAAATCATATCCTTTGTAAAAATGTCTTAGACACAATGATTGTAGGTCCTTGTAGGTCATACAGAAGCTATGTATCGCCTATGTATTACCATCTCCTTCAAAATCCTATAACCCTTTTTACACCTCTAGTTCTAATTTAGGCTGGAATAATACAACTACATGTGAGATTTGACTGTTCAGGATGTAACAATATGAAGGTAGTATCGCTTTATAAATGTTGATTGCAGTCAGTACCTCACAACCTACAGTAGATTTATATATGTCTTATAATGAGGATATTCACCTTTGACAGTCAACATTCATTTATTAGTTTGGAGATGTCTTCTGGTCATTTCTCATTGAAATTAATCCTATCAGTATGACCTTTTTTTTTTTTACCAACTTTATTACAGCTTGGCTAAAGGTGAGGCAGCTTGATTGAAAGACAAAGGGTGAGTACACACCACCAAAGAAACCATTAAAAACAAATTATTTTTTAAATGTTTTGTTGTTTGTCAAAATATTTCTGAATGAGAAAGACGATGTAAAAGCTCAAAATGTCATCACAAAACATGAAATGCCTGCAGGGGGATTGTAGTTCCATTCATTGGAATAGAACAAAAACATCATTGTACAGAGAATAAAAGGTGAAAATAGTGAATTGAAAATGCCTTTAAGTTCAGCATAGCGAGGGGGAAATAATGTGCCTTCTACTTTGCTTATTCCAAATAGTGCCAATGTTTTAAATGTGCTGGCATATCTAATTTCAAAAACAAATTGAAGAGAGAGGAAAGAATACAAGTCATCCACAGTGAATAGGAATTGGCTCAGATAAAATGAAAACAAGGACAGTTTTCGAGACTAACTGTCCTCCACTGTCTTCCTTTAGATTATATTTCTGTGTGTGTGTTTTAAAGAGGGGGGGGGGGGTAATGTTATTTATGGGTAATAATATTTTCCTCATGTACATTTTTCGAAGATGATACGTAAAGCGTTGGATGTGTTTTGGAGTTATCAAAAGGTTTGGAAAAAAAGAAAGGTGGTGGCTTGAGACCAGGCCTGCTCACAGTATAGTGGAAATAGGGTTCTTATGAGCTTTTGGTATGCAGAAGAGGACGTGTGTGCAAACACAGTGGGAGAGATGAACAGAGCCGATGTGTAATTCTACACTCATAGGAAAGCCAACAGCACAATCATAATGAAGAGAGTGGAAGAGGGGACAACGGCATGTTGACGAGGGGAAAAATATAGAATTAATAGAAAATAAATTCAGAACAAGGCACAGAATTTTCTGCAAATGGTTGAACTAAACAAAATTCGTACCAGCAGTTTTGGGAGGTGTCGAATGGTGAAGCTCTCTACAGTGATTTCTGGCAACATCTGGCAACCCCCAAACCCCCCTCCCTCCCTACCCACCCTTACCAAAAACCTACTCTCCCCTCCCTATCTTTCCACCTTATACACACAAAACTTTTCCTCCTCAGCTGCACAGACTGGACTATACATTGTTCAATCCCGGGAAATCCCCCCTAAACCCAACCCAACCCATCCTACCCAACCCAACCCAACCTCAACCCCAAGCACCCCTCACCCAAAGACAGTGTGGAGTCCCACAGGAGACATTATTGGGGCCCTGTGATTTCTATATGTAGTACTCCTTTTTCTCGTCCGAATTGTTGTGGCCCCCCTCTGCGTTGATAATGGCCGTGTCTGCGTCTGCTGCATCGTCGGCTCCTTTAGCTTCATGCGTGAAGTAGGTACCTGAAGGGGGGAAAGGACAAGGAATTAACAAATCATAAAAATGGACACTTCATTCCTAAGCTCCTGAATGCCTAGTCATATGTTTCCTTGGCATTTACAAGCAAATCATTGAACCAAAACAACCCATGAGGTTAACTGTAAAATATATATTGTATTATCTCATAAAATACATATAAATAGAATCATTAAACTTTTGCACACCTACACAAACTCAAATTATACATCAGGTGCTAGGTTTTTAATTCTGGTAGGTCAATTCTTTATTTGCCACTGCAACCCCCTCTGTTGGCATTCCTTGATTGGCATTCAAGATTTGCGCATGAAAATCTATTATTTGATTTCCATGAAACAAGCCTAACCGCGGGATGCTCAAGATTCCTCTTCAGCTCAGCTCACGCCTCCAAATTAACCTTGTCAAGTTCAACGAACAAGTGGGAATGAGCAATCCACTTCAAATTTAATTTCCGACAGGGATTATTCACATCCCAACAGTTTTGGACCTGATAATAAAGGCGATAGCCCAGATCGAATGGAGAAGGGCAGGGAGTAATTTGGAATCAAAACCAAAACCATCGGCTGCACTCTAAAGACCACCCCTTCAAAAGTACAGTAGCCATAACAGAGAGACAATAAGATGGGGCTCAGGAGGTATGATATAATTTCTAAAACAGAGTTTGGGGGGAGAGGGAAGTGATTTTCTGATTGCCCTGGACAATGCTAGTATGACACTGAGTAAAATAAATCATAAAATGATAGTGTGTCTGTGCTCTTTTTAAATGTTTAACCTTGTGATTCCACAGAGGTGCTTCTAAATAGAAAACAAAAGGGTTTGTCACATACCTTTGTGTCTTGCAAAGTACCGTCCCAAAATGATGAGTAGACAGAGCATGGCAAAGACAACCACAGCCACCACTCCTCCGATGACCGCATGGTCGACTGCTCTCGGTGCTCCCTCTCCAGCTCTGGAATCTGTAAGCACAGTAACAGAAACAGCTTTTAGAGAATCCACTAACAGTGCATGCCAATGGGAAGACATCACGTCCACTTTGGTGGATAAGAGATCTCCAAAGAAATAATGATTACATAAATCACCTATAGTATATTGTCAGCTACTCCAGCCTTTGGAGTTGGAGAGTAAGGGCTGATATTACAAGTTGGATGTAGGGGTGTAACGGTTCACCAAGCCCATGGTTCGGTACGTATTGGGGCCACGGTTCGGTTTCGGTACAGCGGGAGATTTAAAATGCCAACAGTCACTGTAGTTAATTTGTATTTATTTAAGAAAATACAAAGTGTTGGTATTCCTGATTCCATATATGATCATGAGTCATATAATACCTGATGAGAGCACAATCAGGAATATCAACACTTTGTATTTTCTTAAATGAAAACACATCAACAACAACACTAAAATAAAGTGGCTCAGACATTGTATAGGACTATGCTATAATGTTTTCTTACAAAGACAAAAATATGCACACTTGTGTGACTCTCATTAAGGGTTTTTTAACACTGTACTTCTCATTTGCCACTCCGGGGTAATGTGATGGGCTGTCAGTGTTAAGTAGCTCTCCGTAGCCCTGGAGGTCCAGCCATCTGTAGTAAGCACAACACAGGCTTTATCTTGCTTTCTATAGAGTGGGTACTACCGGTTTGCTGAAATGGGTGCGAGAGGACGAAGTTCGTAACGTGGCTCGAGCACTTTTCACGAGATGCTGAAACCCCCTATTCTTCTCAACCACCGAGAATGGGCACATATCCACGACTATAAACATACCCCTCACTCTTTCATTTATTTGGCCCAGTCAGAATAAGCTGCAAAAGGGATGCTTGAATGCAGAGGGGAGATTCAGTTGTGTTTTTGTTTTTTTGCGTTTTGGTCTTGCTCCGGTGGTAGGAATACTGGGGTGATGTCGGCGTAAATGTGTCAACATTTGCATAAGCTATCCATCGCCGTTGTAATCTACTGGGAAGCCAAAATGTTCCCAAACTTGAGATTTAAACGATGATGGAGAATCGTTTTTATTTATCGACCTCACCACTCGCCATCGTACAGAACTAGTTCCTGGCTGCGCCTCACAAAAGGACAGTTTGAAATGCTCCAATTAAGATCTACATTTTGATTACAATGTGTACAGGCTCTAGTGTACAGGCTCTACAGAATGACCTGAAATTTGTCTTTTTTTCTAGTTTAGATTTACTCAAGAGGCCTACAACGCAGCGTTTTTTTATGTATTAATTTGGGTTCACAGTGCAGACCGAACCAAGGTCCATGCACCGAACGGTTCGGTACGAATACGTGTACCGTTACACCCCTAGTTGGAAGAAATCCGCAAAATGGGAATTCTGAAAACATTTATGAAATTACACAAATAAAGGACATGATGATCTTTCTAAAACACACAATATGATTCAAGTTAAATTTATATTTTATATTCCAGCTTCCACTATAATGAAACTAAATATCAAATTGACTGAATCATATAAAATGGCCAGAATGTGGATAGAGTTTGATTTGTTAGGCAGAAATTACTGTCTTTAGAGAATCTCTATACAAGATGCATTTACATATCACATAGCATGTTATCCAATTTACAGTAAGGGGATGCATAACTCTACTGTGGTTGGCCATTTTACTGAACAGCAGAAGATAGTGGAACATTTAAACATGATTTATGAAGTGATACAGGCGGTTCTCAACTTCGATATTACTGAGCAAGCACCACTGTTCAAATAAATCTGGCCCCTGCCTAGTCTCGAGTCAGAGCCAGAGAAATACATTTAGCCTGCAATGACTAAAAAGTGCGGATCCCAGGCAATTTCTAAGAAAGATTTATACCAGCTTGGCCTGAAGAACAAGGCGCCTGCCTCAGAGGCTCCAAGCTGTAATGATATGTGAAGGTTATTGATCAAGTGTAGGGATCCATGACAACCAAAAGTTAATGGCGGTTTGTGGACTAGATTGGTTCTTCACAGCGCAAAGGAGGAGCAAAATATTTCATCGATAGCTCACACTCTGCTAGAAAATGATTGAGTTTGGGGGAGAGAATAGATAGGAGACCGGGGGCTTTGACAAGGCCTTACGTCAGCGACAGAGGGAAAAGTTTCCGATTCATTGAGGGATTATACATTTGTAAAAGTGAGAAACTAGCTGTCCTTTGGTAATAGCCTATGCTACATATCACAGCTACATTCCCATATACTGTATATCAAAGACTCACAGGTTCCATTTTGTCATTCTGGGTGTTTAACTCCAGACTTATTTATGTAAACAGGTGCATCTCCTCCAAAGAGCTATCTCGGAAAGATAGGAAGGCTAGAGGGAATGGAGAAAAGGAGGGAAAAATGAACAACCATCCTCTTTGCAATCGACTCGCGTGGAATCCATCAGCCCATCCCTCATAGTTACACACCGCAATCTCCTGCACTCATCTCTAGCCTAAAACCCAGCTCAAGGCTTTTCCTGTGGGAGCTCAAAAAACTAAAACGGCTGGCCACAATTTATTATAGGATAACGAAGTGAGAGAAGCCCATGCTGTTGTGGAACACGCCCCCCTCCTCCTCACCCAACTCACCTCATAAACAACTTACTGGTGGGGGAGGGAAAGGGGGACGAGAATGCCACAGTCACAGTGCTACTTGCCAAACTCAACCAAACATTACTTGATAAACCTAATAGGTTATTTTGACTTCAGATTTCCTTTTCCCGCGCTGGGCAGTTTCAATTAAAGTCGGCAGAAATCCTTCTGACACCTAATTCTCTCTTGTCAAGGAGGGAGGTGAAGACGTGCGTTAACACACTTTCCTACTAAGATGTTAAAGTGGACTTGGGCTACGCCAGTCCGTCGGGGCTGGGAGATAAACAGAGTCCTATGGAAATGTCAGGGAATTTCGCTCTGTCCCCTCCCCTGGATAAAACGTGTCCTTTTTCAGTTAATTTTGTACTGAATGAGGGACGGGTAGATGAGGGAGGGAGGGAGGAGAGGAGGCACTGGGTCCACGGTGAGTTTGACGTCCCACTCAGGTCATTTGCTCCAACTGCACTTGTACTTGACACTAATTAACATAAACTGACAAATGGACTTGGCTTGGGGAGCTGACTGTCGCCTCCCATCCCGCATTGGGAGTGATCTGACCCCCACTTGACGCCCACCCCTACCCCTCCCTTCCTCCCTCGCCCCGCCCTCCCCTGCCAGCCTCTGTGGAGCAGCCGTATGACAGGGGGCCGGGGAACGCAGTCAACAACAATCAGGCTGTAGATTGGAGTTTATGATGGCTCGCAGTGAGGGGCGTCGCTCAGGTAAAACAGAACGCCACTGTACTCTAACGCAATCAGAGGAGGAGAAATTGTAATTTTATAAAAGTCCACTGTGTACCAACATTGTTGCATTGTGTAATTTCAGAGAGGGCAGATGGTTTGGAAATGAGTTGCTTCACTCTCGCACACAAACCAACAAACGCCTAATTTCATCCAGCCCATTCTGCCCCCGAATATTCAATAATTCACAGGGAATTGCCATGGTAATGAAAACCCCTGAAATTTCTCTCCATCCAAATTGACTGAAATGAGTCACTTAATTAAACATATTGCACGGTGCTTATAGAGGAGTCATTACCACCAACAGCAATCCGTGTTAAACACTTAAGATTTAATCGTATAAGACTGGAGGAATGGAGCTGGAGGAATGGAGCGTTCCTGCCTTTCTGCACGTCAAACAGATATGGGAGCTAATAAGGAGATAACAAGGTGTATGTTTTCAACTGATTGAAAGGAAAACCTTAAGGCAGATTAACCCTCCGTCTCCCTTCACCACGTGGATTAAGATCAATACCATAGTCAATAAAAACAGGTATACAGTCGCTTTTGGGTGAGGCAACACAACAATTCTCCTTTTGTTGCATGTTGGAAATGATATCTGGTTGACTTTTTGTCTCGCACAGTAACCTGGTTTAAAATTAATCCAATTGTGCATTCTCACAGCACAACAAAGTGTTGTTATGTCTAACCTAGACACACCTGGTTCATGTTCTGTCTGAACAGGGCCCAGAGTGTAAACCTCTATGTAACCAAATGCCTTTGAAGACAAATTGCCAGGACCCAGCGAGCACAGGCACCCAGATCTCTCTATCCTCCATCACCCATCTTTCTCCACAGCTGGCCGCCCCGTGGAGAGGGGAGATTACTAAAGACATGGAGAGATGGCACCTCAGTGCTACAAGATGCCAGGTAATCAGGGGCGGATGTTTTCCTCAATCCCCGGCCTGTCTGGGGTGTTATCCAGGTTATTACCCAGAGGCTGGAGCCCCCCCAAGAACACATACTATGGGCCAGCCTGGTGTTAATAGGGCACAGTGGGCAACCATTCTTTGTGAGGCGTCAGGCCTGTCTCAAGCTCAACTAAGGTCATGAGAAGAGAAAGTGTCTGAGGTGGAAAGTTAGAACTACAGTACCAGTCAAAAGTTTGGACACACCTACTCATTCAAGGGTTTTTCTTTATTTTTACTATTTGTTTAAATTGTAGAATTCTAGTGAAGACATCAAAACTATGAAATAACACATATGGAATCATGTTGTAACCAAAAATATATGTTATATTTGAGATTCTTCAATTAGCCACCCTTTGCCTTGATGACAGCTTTGCACACTCTTGGCATTCTCTCAACCAGCTTCACCTGGAATGCTTTTCCAACAGTCTTGCAGCACTCCATCACTCTCCTTCTTGGTTAAATAGCCCTTATACAGCCTGGAAGTGTGTTGGGTCATTATCCTGTTGAAAAACAAATGATAGTCCCACTAAGCCCAAACCAGATGGGATGGCATATCACTGTAGAATGCTGTGGTAGCCATGCTGGTTAAGTGTGCCTTGAATTCTAAATAAATCACAGACAGTGTCACCAGCAAAGCACCCCCACACCATAACACCTCCTCCTCCATGCTATCCGGTGGGAACTACACATGCGGAGATCATCCATTCACCCACACCTCGTCTCACAAAGACACGGCGGTTTGAACCAGAAATCTCCAATTTGGACTCGAGACCAAAGGACACATTTCCACCGGT